GTCACGCGTGGACGGCTGGGGGCTCTGGAGCGGGCGCGTCGTGGTCGTGGGCACCCCAACTCCACGCGTCGGTGGGGGGTCCTGACCTGGTCGGGGGCCACGGGGCACCTGCCACACAGACGTAGCGCCTGGCGCCTTTGGGACCCGCCCACGTCTATGTGTTTATTTAAAGAAAATCATGTTTCCCACTCCTACTGAAGCGCTGTCCTGTTGTGCACAGGCGGAGGCTCGCGATCATGTTCTCTAGGGCATTCCGCGCCAAATAAAAATGGACGCAGGCCTGCGGTGTCATTTCCTCCAGTGGCTGGCGGTGGGCTGGCGGGGACAGGGGCTCCAGGCGGCGGATGCTGCGGCTGCCTTGCGGAGCCCCCTTTCCACACGTGGGGGTGGAGGGTGGAAAGCGAGGCCCTGGCCGCCCGGGACGGGTGAGGGGAGCGGATAGGTGGGCCCCCCTCAGGAAATCTGCCCGGGGCTCCCGAGGCCCTCACAGATCTTGCAGGTAGCTCTGGTTTTCCCACGGGGGACCCCATGGTGGCAGCTGTGTGTCCGGTTCCCACACTTGCGCCAGGTCGCCAGAAAACCTGTGCGGGGTCCTGGAGCTGCCCGGGCCCCACTGCTGCGTGCTGTATGACGCGGTGTGGACCGGCTGCGGGCCCGCACCGTCCGAAACCCGGGCCCAGAGCGCAGAGCCTGAGACGGGGACCCTCGGCCCGTGCACGTCCTTGGTTCTGCCTCAGCGAGGCGGTCCGTGAGACGTGGGACCTTCAAGCAGGCTACGGAGGGACGGGATGGGGCAGGACAGGACGGTCCGCCACACCCATGTGGGTTCTGCCGGGCTCCACAGGGGAGGGCGCCTCTGGCCCACAGTGGCCCTGCCTCCAAGTGAGGTGACCTAGCGCCACTTGCTTGTCCTGCCTGGGCTGGTGGCAGCTGCCACATTCTGAGCCAGACTGGTTTCACGCCCTGTTGGTTCCTGTCCAGCTGAGAACAGCCCGTCTGGGTGTGACCTGCCCTTGTTAATGAGCAGGTCCCCAAGTGTCCTTATCTGCAGGTGCCCTTGGCCTCCAAGGACGTGCTGCGGGCCTGGGTGTCCCGGTGCAGTTGGCATCTGCAGCCTGGGGCAAGCTCTGCCCTTCACGACCTCGACACGAGGCATGGACACAAGGCTAGAAGTGAGACGTCATCTCCGAGTTAGCCGCCATCTCCGTGGAGCTGTGGGGGACGAGGACCGCGCGTCCTCTGAGCTCGCAGGGGCTTGTCTTCTGGATGGGGGTGCAGGTCTCAGGTCCCCACTGCCCCTTCCCTCCTGCCCAGATGCGTCCCCGAGTGTCCCACACGTAGTCGGTGCGGCATGTTGCCCCTCCCTGGTTGCAGAATCGATTCTAGGTGCTGACTACCGGGAACGCAGCAGGAGAAGGCACCAGCACAGTCGCAGACAGAAGAACACCGTGAGCGCCAAAAAGCCTTTTATTTAGGTTTTTCTGGGGGCAGCTCAGGAAAATCGCACTGGGCGTTCCCATGCCCGCCCCCCACCACAAACTTCTGTCCAGCCGCCAGCAGCCTCGGCGCCCTCCAGCTCTACGTTTCCCCCAAGACCTGCACGTCAGCCACGGGACACTCCTCCTGGCCAGCTCTGCTGCCCTCCCAGTTAATCTGCAAGGTGACACAGGATCGGTGAGCCCAAGGCTCCCGACGAGACAGGAAGTGTCACCCGAGAGCTGCAGGGGCTCGGCCAGAACCTGCCTAGATCTGGGCGCGTGGCTCACTGGGGCTCCGGGCCCTGCCCTCCTCAGGGACCCCCTCACAGTGACTGCCCCGTAGTCACAGGCTGGGACCCTCCCGTTCCAGCCACCCACCAGGGCCAACAGACAAGCGTCCGGTCCCTGCGGCCGGCTGTGGCCACCTCATCTCCAGATGCACCCGCCCCGGAAACCACAACTCACCATCTTCTCGTCCTGAGTGTCGTCGCTGAGGGGGTTTTTCGTGCGGGGGATGGGAGGGAAGAGCTTGTGCTGCACCGAGCACCTGCGTGAAGAGAAGTTCCTGCAAGTCGGACGCAGCCCCAGCCGGCTCCTGCGGGGGCCACAGTGTCGCAGGGGGAAGGGACAGCACTGGAGCCTCCTGGGGTCCTGAGGTCTCCGCACCGCAAGAACGAGCAGTCAGCCGTAGCAGGAGCTGAGCTGCACCCGCGTCTCACTCACCCAGTGGAGACGGAGGCCACCCTGGGTGCCTAGCACCTGGCAACCTTGCTGTCCCAACAGCTTTTGCACAAACCTGGTTGTCCCCTACGTGGGGCGGAGGGCCCGTCCACCCCTAAAACGCAGCCCCTGTCCATGGAAGCTGGGGGCGGAGCCAGGAGACAGACCCCGAGGCCAGCAGGCGCAGTGCAGGGCTCACCCATTAGGCTGAGCCTCTGGGCATGGGAGCGCACCCAGCAGCAGGGGCTGTGGTCAGTGGGAAAGGCCACGGTCATGAAGTCGCTGACCGGTCACCGCTGCCCACTGGTCAGGGAAGGGTCTCAGAGCCACCATGTCCTGAAGGATGTTAGGGACTTTGGAGGGAGTGTGGGCCAGGTGTGAGGGAGCAAAGGGGCCGCACGTGAGCCTTGCTGCAGCCGCGGCCTCCACAAGGAGCCGAGGGTCCGAGGAGGGGAGGGACTCCCCGCTGCGGGGGGAGGTGCTGCGCTGGGGACCGGGCGTCCAAGTGTCCCATGAGCCCCCGTGACCAGAGGGCCGGAACCAGGGTCTTGTTTCAGGAAGACCCGCTGCGGCGTCTGCGGGCCTGGGCCCGGCGGGTGCTCAACCTGCAGCCCGGCCCCACGGGGGG